TCCACCTACCCCCCTCTGCGCATGGCCGACTCATACAGCCAGGTCTGGCGAATGGCCCCTTTCAAAAGTCGACCGCTGGACCTCTCCAGCGGCGCGTCTGGCCAGATCTTTGGAGGGAACCTGGCCGTGGAGAGAGGCCCCCTGGAGGCCCAGACCACACGAACAGCCTCATCCACGAACTACATTGGGAGGACAAACAATGACATCAACATAAAAACTCAAAAGTCCCGCGCGGATCTCTCGGATCGGCGCTGGACCCCCCTCTCCCTGGCGGGCGCGCCAAGGGCGGTGCCGGAGGCACCGCCAGGTGGGCCCCGCGACGATCCGAGGAATCCGCACGGACCTCCGAGTTGTTTTATGCATGTCATTGTTTGTCCCCCGATACAAGCCACTGTGGCGAAGGGCCGCTCTCACGCGCACCCGAGCCCAGCCCGAGAGGGCGCGAGGCACCGCGGAAAGCGCGCGCCTCCTCGCGTCCCAAAGGCTGGCGCGCTCGGACCACGAGGCCGTCGTCAGCGACGAAACCAGACACAGGGCCTCCTCGTCGATGTGGTGGTCCCTGGCGCGCGCCAGCGCACTGCTGGCGTGCCACCTCCTCTTTGTCATCCTGTGCCTCGTCCTGGTCTCCGTCCCTGTCGCACCCAGAGGCCAGTGTTTAGGGCGGGCCGGGCGTTTCGCCTGAGACTTCCTCCCCATTTATGACTCTGAAGCTTGAAAAGTAGCAACAGCTTCACAGATGGAGGGCGGGCCGTTTTCAAAATGTGGCTCTCGCCTTAGCGCCTCGCACACTCGCTTTCAAAATTTGCAAGAGCTTCGCGGATGGAGGGCGGGTCATTTTCAAAATGTGGCTCTCGCCTCTGCGCCGCGCACACTCGCTTTTAACATTTGCAAGGGCTTCACGGATTGAGGGCGGGTCGTTTTCAAAATGTGGCTCTCGCCTTAGCGCCGCGCACATTCGTTTTAAAGAATAGCAGGGGTTTCACGGATTGAAGGCTGTTCATGTTCAAAATGTGACTCTCGCCTTAGCGCCGCGCACATTCGTTTCAAAAAGTTGCAAGAATTCCCTGGAGGCCCATGATCAACGTACCAGAAATGGCGTTTTGGAAAGATTCGGGATTATGCGGGTGCAATAATGTTGATTCGCGGCTTTGGGGTCCCAAAAATGGCGCTCTGGCACGACTCCAGATCGGCAAGACGCAGCAGTCAGGTTGATGCGTGGCGTTGAAATCCCGAGAACAATGTTTTGGCATGCTGCAGGATCTTCAAACGGTTGTCTTCCAACGAGGCAGTTCCCTCAATAGAAAAAAAAACGCTGTGGGGGCCTATGAAGAGGGAGCTTGGAGGGAGGGTTAATTCCAACATCGTTGATGACTCTTGGTTTTACACTGGTCCTCCTCCTCCTCCTCATTTCCATGCCCGCCCCCCTCCTCCTTCTCCTCCTCCTCCTTCTCCTCCTGCTCCCTCTACTTACTACTACTACTACTACTACTACTACTACTACTACTACTACTACTACTACTACTACTACTACTACTACTACTACTACTACTACTACTACTACTACTACTACTACTACTACTACTACTACTACTACTACTACTACTACTACTACTACTAATAGTACTACTACTACTACTACTACGACTACTACTACTACTACTACTGCTACTACTACTACTACTACTACTACTACTACTACTACTACTACTACTACTACTA